CATTGATATATCATAACAAGGTTATGTCTAAAGATAGGATGAATTTTCTGAAAGCATGCATGTTCATATGTAAGCCTCATGCTCTTTTAAGGCTAGTCAAAATAGCCGCCTGCCTGACAAAATGGGGGGATGTGGGTCTCCATGATAAGCTTGATACAATCTTAAGATGATGAGGGGGAAGGGCCCAGATCCATAAAAATATTCAATAAAATGAAAACTAACAAAGCACATCTCTACTATTATTATCTTGCATGGGATGTAAAGAAAATACAATATTAACTGATTAAGGACCGTTCCTAAAGTTTGATTGGGAATCTATCAGAAATTCAATTTTAATTTGGATGCATCACTTTACTATTATATTATGTTATTTCAAAAAGTATTAATTTTAGGAAAAAACCTTGGATTTTAGTGGTGTTGCAGATAATTCTTGAACAATTTTAATTCGAGAAGCCATGGACGGTGGATGTGTTGCAGATCGATAACCCTCATGAACACTTTTATTCCACTAATCCTCCTAAAATTTTCTACTCGGCTCTCCAAGGTAGCACCAGGAAGCTCAACATGTCAAATGCCAAGCCTCTAACGCCTCTAACAAAGAAGACAAAATACCTCCCTTCCAAAAAAATTACTATTTTTTTCTTTTTTTAATAATTTTTTGCTAAAAAGGCCTCACATTCTTAATTTTCAAACATCAATTTAAGTAATGATTAATTTGGTAACTAGAGTTTAATGCCTAAGAAATATTTTTATCATTTTGCAACATCATTACCACCTTCAGGGAGTTCGTTACAAAAAGTTTAAAACTTTAGGGAATTTTGTGAGACTGTACTTTAAAGCTCAAAAGTATTAAGTGGATTAAAAAGGTTTTGGAGAGGGTTATTTACAGCACCTCCTAAAGTCCAATATGGTTTTCTCAAATTAAAATGTTCAAGGGACTCATCTCCAATGCCCTCAAAGTTCAGGATGGGTCTCCTAAAATTAATCCTTTATTACAAAACCTGGAGAGGCTGTATCATTGGCATGAGATCGCAGGGACCCAAATATAACATCCATATGAAATAGGATAAATTACATAAAGAATTTATAAAAGGTTTTAGGATATTTATACCTGATTTCAGAAGTGATAGTTGATTTCTAAGAATTTAATTTTTGGTGCAAAAGAAGAAAAAAAAATTGTTTGCTCATAGAAGAATGTATAAGATCATTATATTGATTAAGAACTAATGATTATTGGTGCAAATTGAAGACATGAGAGGAAAATGTTACTTTGTAAACCTTTAGAGGATTTTAATTCTGTGGTTCCTTCAAACCATAGGGAGTTTTCTTTTAACCTTTAAAATGTGAAGACAATATTATGAATTGCACTTAGCATGGAATGTGCTTGATTGTAAAGGCTTTTTCTAATGCAAACGAATATTTTCTGTCCTTGATCGGTTTCGATGTAAGGGCCCATTAAGCTTCCATTGATTAACTTTATGATTAATTAAATAAGAATGTAATGAGCAATGTGCTTAGCTTCTTCCTTTTTAAAGAGTCCTTTGGGTCCCTTTTAAGTGATAAATTAACATGTTATAATCATAGATCATAGGTAGGGTTTTTCATTAGGGCTTTGGTGCTTGCATGTAGAAGTGCATGGTCCTCAGAAGACAGAATTTCTTGTAGAAATGATTTCACATAGAAAAAGTAGGGGAACCAAGGCTTACACCTACAACATCTAGAACTACTTAATAGGATCTCATCCTAAAATTTTATTTCTTTGATAGTTGTAATGATGAGGGAGACCACCTACTACAATTTTTACATGTCCATACTTTTGTTTTGGTTCTTGGAATATTGCCTCCTTCACTTGGAGCATTGCTCATCAACTTCTCTTTTGCTTTCACCATACTCTTTTTGGTGTGGGGATCGTCCATGAGGCTAGGCTGTGTCTTCACTCATTTTATTTAAGAGTTGATTGCCGATAAACCCCTTACAGTATAGCTATTTTCAACTTACTCCCATCCGATCGAGTTTTATTTCCGTGCATGGATGCACTCTGAGTGAATTTTCATGAATCTTTTACACTCAATGAGTCCATTTGTTAAAAAAACAAATTTCTCTCTTCTTTTTCCTTTTTTTTTGGGATAAAAGAGTCGGAATGTTCACTCTGGAACTCTATTAACAGCGAAAAAAATTATAAGGATAGTAAGTTCAAAACAACAATATGATATGAAATATAATAGTGATTAACCCAATATTTATTTATTATGTGTCGTTTGGTTTAATACAAGTACATGATTGCAACTAAGACATTTTGGATAACTAGGTTTTATAAATATGCAATGCACGTGGTTAAATACCATGATTAAGTATTTTTAGATTATTTTCTAACTAAAATTTGTTCCTCAGTTCCACTTTAATAGCTTATGCTCACTTTTGTCTCTAAACTTTAATATTGCGATTATTTATTTTCTTTGACGTTTGTTTAATTGGGCTACACCCAATTCAAAATTTCATGTTGATATTTGAATTGATAGAAAATAAATATAATTTGAAGCTAATTTAAAATTTATATTATTTTGACTGACATGATACCAAGCTTTACTTGAGAAAGTACAGTGTCGCAAATGTAAAAGAATATTAAAATAATATTATACAAGAAAGATGAATATTTAAAACCAATAAGTCAAAATGATTGGTTAAAAGTATACTAAAACGATATGAAAGAGAATATAAAGTTTGTTCCTAATCATTGATAGACTTCATTAGAAATTATAAATTAAAGATTAATGCTAACTCTAGTATACTTTCATATGATAAAAGCATTTGCACAAGCATATAAAAATACTGCAATAAGCTAATAAAACTCCCTTCTAAAGATTCCTAAATTCACTCAAAATATATAAACTATTCTATAAAATATTTAGAAAATATTATTTTTTATTCTTTCTATTTTATTTTTTTATTGAGCTAAAATCAATCCTTTCTCACCTTTATCTTTTTCACGGACAATTCTAGAGTAGTGTCTTCATCATCTACTCGATTGTGACATCAGGCTAGAGTTGTATTTTTTGTGTTGTTATCTTTCTTAGGCTCGTTAATCTTTTATCTTGTCATTTAACTTTACAAAGAAATTAAATGTATTTCTGATGTTCAACACAAACTTCTTAAAATACAGACTTTGATTTTTTTTATTTCAATGAGAATAAATATTAATCTCATATATATAAAATTCTTTTTGTTTCTAATTTATTACTTAAATATGATTAGGAGTTACCACTTTTTCTCTACAATGAATTCTTCCGATGTGTATCCAATAAAAATTTCTGTTACGTCAATAATATTACATTTGCTCATTTCCTGATATTTTTACAAAGAACTAAACTAAATACCTATATTTTTATTGCTAATTTGCCTTAGATTATAATGTTAATATTTAATTTATTTAGTATTTAAAGAGCAAAGTATGAAATTTATGAATGCTTACTAATTTTTCTTATATCTTTTATAGAGAATTCTCCTTTGTTTGGGATAAAGTTATTAAATTATTCTTTAATGTAACTCAGTTGGTGCTTCTTTAATAGACATGCCTTATGTTAATGCCAATTCAAATGGTTTATGGACGTTTTCTGAATTTTAGATTTATTTTCGTTACTTTCCCATTTGCAATGGAAATAGCTTGAAGGATATCTCTGAACATTCTAATAGTATCTCCATATGTAATTCATTATATTCTTTTACTCTATAAATATTATTAATATCAGAGATTAATATTTTTAAATTATAATCAATTAAGGCTAAGCTATTATATTATAGTCTTTTATCATTTTTATGGATTTGAACTGTTATCAATTAATGTTACTAATGTGTTTTGCTGCTCTAACTTATTGGTAAACTTTTATGCAGTTGCTTTAATTTACATGGTAATGATATTTTTAATCTAAAATATTTTTTAAATTTTTATTCCCTAATCGGATATTTTTAAGAAATCCTTATCACTTTTGTTTACCAGTATCAATTTAGACTATCTTTAGATGCTGAAAAGAGATAGTAAACCCTAAATTGAAAATTATATATATAAATGAAAGAATACCAAACAATTACACTTTTCTTTTCCAAGTTTTAAAATTTTAGCCATTTTTATGGTTTTGATATATATATATATATATATATATATAGTAATGAAGGAATACCTAACAACTACACTTTTCTTTGCCATGTTTTAAAATTTTAGCCTTTTTTTATGGTTTTAAACTTTGAGGGTGTGATTTGTAATTTTTAAAACTTTAGGAGAGTTTTTAAAAAATTACTTTTAAGTTTGTTAGTTGTAACTTCTATGTTTTATGTGTTAGTGGTAATTTTTAAATATCATGATATTTCTTACAACTCTGAAATTTTGAGGCTACTTTTTGCAATTGTTAAAACCGTAGTTTAATTTTTAAAAATTTTAAATTTTAGCAGTCTACTAATAGTATTTAGATTTGATGTGTACTAATTATAAATTTTAAAAAATTAGGGTTTTTTATGATTTTTAAATTTTAAAAGAGTTTTTTCTATAACTTTTGTAACTTTGAGATTAATTTCGATTAAATTTAAATTCTTAGGTGCATGAGGGTAATCTCTTTAATTCATCTTTTATTATTTGTAAATTTTAAAAATTTAAAAATTTTAGGTTTGTTTTTTATAATTTAAACTTTTGAGCGTGTTTCTATAATTTTTGGGACATTGAGGGTGTTAATTAAAAATTTTAAATTCTTGGGAGGCAACTATTAATTTCTTGATTTTATATTTGTTGTTTTAATGTTTGATATGTCAGAAATTTTTAGGTACGTTGTTGTAATCCCTTGAATTTATCTATATTGTTTGTAAATTTTAAAAATTTAGAATTTCAGGTGCTTGTTTGTAATTTAAACTTCTGAAGGTGTTTCTATAATTTTTGAGATATTGAGATATTAACCACAAATTTTAAATTCTTCGTAAATTGTTGTTAATTTTTTAATTTCATGTTTGTTTTAGACATCGAGATAGTTTTTATAATTTTAAACTTTTCAGGGTATTTTGTGTAATTTTATAACTTTTTTGGCTTTTTTACATTACTTTATTACTTTATATATTATAGTACGTTAGCTACGTATAATTTCTTTATCTTAACAAACTAATGTAAGATGTTTTATATATGTTATTAATATTATTTTTTTAAATTGTTAAGCTATAAATAGTTCACATAGGATTAGGATAGGATATAATTATAATTAGAATAGATTAAGATATAAATAAAATATTTAAAATAATGAAGGGTAATATTAACCATAGAAAGATTTTTTCAAAATCGTGTTTTTAAAGTGAGTATGATTTATAGTTGTTTGTTTCAAATAATTGTAAATAAAAGTTTAAAAATATTGCGCATTGCAATTGACGACTTACGCGAAATTTAATATAACTTGCAGTCACAACCATTTAATGCTCTACATGAAATTTACGTTGCGGCTTCTATTAAAGCTAACCTCCAATGCGACCTCCTCCTCCGCCATTAAGCCCCGTCACCACCAACTCTGGATCCGACCCCGACCTCAACCCAACGACCACTCCGCCACGACACGAGACCCAAACTCCGGATCCAACCCCAACCCCAACTCCAGCGACCACTCCGCAACGACAAGAGAGAGTCTTGAATCAGGTGCGTTTTCATTTCTTGATTGATTTAGGGATTTTTTTGATGTGGGTTGTTGATGTTTTAGGGCTTTTTGATTTCTTGCTTGATTTAGGGCTTTTTATTGATTATTGTTGGCTTTTTGATAAATTTTGTATATATGGGGCAGAGATGGATGTTATTGAGTGAGCGACATGTTATGAACTGTTTTTTTTGGATATATGAGGGAGAGATGGATTATTGTTGGCTGATCTTAAAACATATGAAGATCCTTTTTTTTCTTCACTTTGTATTTAGTTTTTCCCTCTCTCTCGCCGGCGTCGAAGACCCCATCAAAGACCCCCACCCTAGGACCGTCGGAGACCCCCCCACCCCGTCGAAGACGATCCCTCCCCCTCTCTCGCCGACGCAGGTAATAACCAACCCCTATTTTTTTCTTTACAATGCTGAAATTATTAAGCCAAGATCGTTACCTGTTTGATCAAATGCCACAGTCCTAAGGGTATTTTTTTATTTTAAATTGGGTGCTCAAATTATACAGCAAATGGATGTTGGGTGCTCAAATTATTAAGCCAGGATCGTTACCTATTTGATCAAATGCCACAAAGAAGTTTGGCAGCTAATTACATTCATTTGTTGTTGAAATTACATCTATCTGCTGTTGAAATTACATTCATTTGAGGAACACATTGCATATTACATTCTTTTAATTGTTATGTTGGGATGTTTCAGTACAACACTTGGAGCGTGTGAAGTGGTACGGTCCACACGTTCGCCATATTGTAGCTGATGTTAGATGTCAAAAAGTCTAAATCAAACAATTACTATATGCAAGTATTGTTTCTTATCCGAGAGAATCAGAGAAACAAAGTGAAGAGTGAGATTATACAACAATGTATCATTGACAGAATTTATCAGCGATCATGTATTACTTTTAAAGATTTTTAAGCTAATATTTACCTGAACATGAAGTGTGTTATACAGTGCATAAGCTTTCATGTTTTCAGATGTCTGCTTGTCATCAAAGCTGTGGAGAACTTTAGTTTCTTAGGTTGTGTAGTTGTAGAGAACTTTAAAGAGAGGTTATTTAAGTATAATATAAAGGTGCCAGAAGCTTGAATTTGCTTGGGTGTTGGATTTCAATTGTTATGTTGGTCATTTTGCTTGAATTTAGCTGTAGTTAGGTTTTAGTTACATGAATGCAGATTTGGTTGATAAATTTAGACCACAAATCAAATATACGTTTGCATTGTAGTTAGGTTCAAACTATTTCAATTTGCCCTACTGATCATGACTAAATTTGGTTTCAAGATAAAGTTGTATATTTTGGTACATGGAGTCATCTTCAAGCACTCGTCATAGATTGATGTGTCATTGTGGAAGGAGGGCTATACTCTCCAGATCTGGAACAACGACGAACCCTGGTCAATTTTTTTTGGGATGCGCTAATTGGAAAGTGAATAATTGTGGATTCTTCAAATGGGTGTTTGATGAAGAGGAGTTTGAAGGTTCAAAGGCAGGGCTTGTTCAAACGAAGCAGTCGAGCGTGATCCCGCAAGTTTCAAGTGCAGTGTCAATTGGAGAAGTTCGGGAAAAGAGAAAGATTGAAATTAATATTATGGAATTGTTGAAGCTTTTTGTATTTGTTCTTTTATTCGGTATTTTTCTTGGATTTGTATTTGGTATTTTTATTGGATTTGTGCTAAGTAGGGTGTAAGAATGTATTATTGGATGAGTAAGATTTGTATTTGATATGATAAATTTGGTCTTTTATTTTTTGCTTCTGCGACACCAACCAAATAAATCAGCGACTCCCAAATGTGTCAATTGACAGAATGATGTCATTTGCCGAGCATGGACTTATATTGCAATGATGTTAGCTCGTCACTTTTATTCTGTAGGGTGGAAGATTGTATTGTGTGAGAGCATTTGTGGCTTCCATAAACCTGGACACCTCAAACAACCATTTCAAAGATTTCGTACTGTCATCATATAAGAATGCTGAGCCAAAAAGTACCTCCTGATTGTGGTGATTCACACCAATGAATTGTATAAGCGGCCTGCCATAGCCAAACATTTTGTAACTTGTGTCCAAACAAATCGAATCGCCAAAGTAGGTAAAATCCATCACAGACTTTGCATCTGCCCAAAAAAAGTTGGTCATAGCATCATTTTCACCAACCTGCAAAGCATAAAAGAATGAAGGGTCTTTATCCTGCATTTTCTGTAGATATTCCAATGTAGCCCCTATATCTCCAATCTGGACATCTTTCATATGACCGATTTGAGGATAAATCTTAGTACCCTCAGCAACTACTAAATCAGTTTCCGGTTGGTCTGTTCCCTGAGAAGAGTTATCAGTGAAAGCCTGTGTAATAAATGTGTCATCTGCTTCAGCACTATCGGAAATTATCAATTCCTCTGATGCAGGACTTGCCAACTGATGATTATGTCGGGTAACAAACACCGATACATGATAGCAGCCACACCACCCCTTAAAAAAATGAATTCAAGTCTACTGAGAGTCACAGAATTAACAGATAAACAGATAAACATAACTGATCAACCTTTGAATGTCCAGTGCAGGCATATTCAGTCCAAATTCACAGAATTAACAGATAAACATAAAAAGAACAAAGTATGAACTTGGCTCCAAACAAAATATGACCATGAAATCCAAACAAAATATGACCATCAAAGTTCTCAAAGCTTAGTATCAGGCTCAAAGTTCTCAAAGCTTCACGCAAACTAAGTGAGAACTTGATCAAACTTCTTTCCGCCAATCTTCTTTCTGCCAACCTTGATCAAACTTCACGCAATAGTGAGAACTTCATCTGTATTGAAAAACATTAAAAAACTAAGTGCTTCATCACATTAAAAAATCATATTATATTAAAAAATGGTAATATACAAGTTATTCTGTATGTATTAACCATTACATTCCTCAAAGGAATCTTCTAAATCATCAGTGGCTTCATCAATATTATCTTGTTCCATTGAATCACTAAAAAAAGAGATGATAGCAAAACATATTAAATGATCATTGTACCAACTTAAAAAAGTTTAGAAAAATAAATGATACACTACCTTGACAACTTTAGAGGGCAATTTCTGCTATCATGATTTTGTCCTCGCTTTCCACACAATTTGCATTTCCTAGGTTTGCATTTGCGGATCTCACTCGAAGGCTTTAACCTCTTCCCTTTAGGCCTTCCTTTTGTTCTTGCTTGACTTGGTTCATGAACTATATCTTGAGAACACTCTGCATTCATATAATGTCCTTCCACATCTTGTCCAATTTCTTCATCATTGATGAGTTTCAAACGTTGCACCTTATTAATAGCATCCATCATCATTTCACGCATTAATTCATATGCATCATTAGAAGATAGCCCCTCTTCGACCATTTCATTAGCTAAGCAATTTAGTTCACTAAAACGAGAAGCAAAATTAATTGTGGCATTATCTCCAATAATATTACCATCTCTAAGAACAACCCTTTTTTTGACATTTCGGCACCATCTTCTTAGAATATATTGTTCCGGTAACTCACTATGATTGGTAAGTTTAAGATATGCCAAGATATGTCGGCATGGAATGCCCTTGAATTCAAACAAGAGACACGAACAACGGACCATTTTAGTTGTTTTGCAATATATTATATGTCTCAATCTTTCATCCTGACCACAAAAATTCAAATTGAAAGTACTTTCTCTTTTATTTTCTTTTACCAGCTCAATGTTATACATTAAGCTAGGTTGAAGCTCGTCTTGAAAAATATAAAAGATTTTTTTCGTGTATTGGCTTTTTCTCCACTGTGCAATGATCTTCTTTAAGCTCCCCCTCTCTTTGTCTCGCCAAGACCCTTTGAAAGATGATCACGAAATCATAAAGTGAATTTTTCCTTGATACATGCATTTTTAGCAATGCATTCATCCCTTCACTTCTTTGACTACTAGACATATCGGCCCAAAAGTGTTGTTTATGATAAACCGGAGCCCATTTTTCATGAATTTTATAGATATCATTTAGCCAATCATGCGTTTCCAATCCATTTTTCTTAAGAATTGAAACCCAATTCTCTTCAAAAGAGCTAGCAGTCTCGGAGTCCCAAATATTTTCTTTGAAAGGATTCATAAATTCCGTTCTACAAGCCCATTTACCCAACTTCTCCGGAACTTTGTCCAAGATATGCCAAATGCAAAACCGGTGCCGAATTTCTGGAAATACTATTTCAATTGCCTTGCATATGCCAAGACATTGATCAGTAATCATGCCCAAAGGAGGATGACCCATTGCTTCAATCCATTTGTTAAACAACCATACGAAAGACTTCGCCTCTTCGTTTGGAATCAAGCCACATCCTAAAAAAATACTTTGCCAATGGTGATTTATGCCTACAAACGGCACAAATACCAAGCCATATTGATTTGTGTTATGCGTGGCATCGAAGGAGACAACATCGCCAAAGTGTTGATAATTCATTCTAGCAATGCCATCCACCCAAAAACAATGAGTTAAGCGCTTCTCTTCATCAACGTCATAAACATAATAAAATGAAGGATTCTTCTTTTGTTCCGCCTTAAAATGATCCAACAGCATTTGTGCATCATGACCGCGCCTCTCTTCTCTCAAATCTCTTTCATAATTCCTCACATCGGTCTCAATACATCCAATTCTATGAAAACCTCCGCTAGAGTTTTCAAAGAAGGCCATTTGCTTGTTTGTTGGAATGTTCACCTCTCCAAACTGCTTTATCAATGTCTTCTTCGCACTTGTTACCTCACGGTTTCCCCTTAGAAAATGTGTTCTACTCGGTGAAGTAATTGTATGATTATGTTCTTCCACGAACTTGTAGACACTCCATATGCCAATGTTTTGGTCTAATTTCAAGCGAATCAAGGCCTTACAATTTGTTCTAATTGTACCACATCGTCGAATTTCCAACGATTTGCTCTTTAACACTCCTTCTTTTGAACAAACATAACTTTTGCCAATTAATTCTCTATCCTTCCCATAATTTGTTGTGCTATTACGAATATCAAAACCTCCAGCCTTTCCGTAATTTCTGTAGAATTTTTCAGCGTCTTCTAAATTGCCAAAAGTCATTCCTATTTTTGGTTTTAAGTGCTCATCAACAATTGGCACAACTAAGTTATCCAACTGAGAGATTTGTTCATCAACAACATGGGAGCAACCATCTTCAGTTTCCATTGGATTGATGTAAATAAGCCTAAAGAAACAAAAATACATTTATATTCAGGATTCTACAACATCAATATGCAAAATTTATATTTAGAAAAAAATACATTTATTGAGTCTATCAAATTTTCAGCCCCCATTTTCAATTGAAACAATGCAACAATGTAACATCTTATTTAAACAATGCAAACATAACACCCAACACCCATGGATAATTTCAACACCCAACACCCATGGATAATTTCAACACCCAACAATGCAACAATGTAAATTTATCAATCAAATTTGCATTCATGTCACTAAAACCCAACACCCAACTGCAGCTAAATTCAACACCCATGTATAATTTGAGCACCCAACACCAAACTACAACTAAATTCATGTCACTAAAATAATTTGAGCACCCAACACCCAACTGCAGCTAAATTCAACACCCATGTATAATCATCCCAGACCAGATTTCTTGTTCTTAAATTCTCAATGTGGAAGAATTTGCTTATGCTTAGGACTGTGGCATTTGATCAAACAGGTAACGATCTTAGGACTGTGGCATTTGATCAAACAGGTAACGATCTTGGCTTATAAATTCAACACCCATGTATAATCATCCCTAAACTTCTTTGTGGTATTTGATCAAACAGGTAACGATCTTGGCTTAATAATTTCAGCATTGTAAAGAAAAAAATAGGGGTTGGTTATTACCTGCGTCGGCGAGAGAGGGGGAGGGTCTGACGGTCCTGGGGTGGGGGGTCTGCGACGGACGGGGCGGGCCGCGCCGCGCCGCCGCTCTCGCGACTCGGGTGTGTCTTTGCGCGGTGTCTGCGACCGGCGACTGGGCGGGGGCCTTAATGGCGGACTGGTCGGCTGGCTTACAAGGGCGGAGGTTCGACGGGGTTTAATAGGCGGAGGTCGACGGCGGTCTTCGGAGGTTTGAAGCTTGGGGTGACGGAGGAGGAGAGAGGGAGAGGGAGGAGGCGGTCTTCGGAGGGTGAAGCTGGGAGTACAGCTGGGTGACGACGAGATCAATAAATGACCTGGGGACTTGTTAGCTTATCATCCTCCTACCATTCGTCTCGCATTCCGACAGTTTACGGAAGTTTTTTCGTTATTGCTGCCTGCGAAAATTCTCTTTTTCGCGATCCGAAATATTTCTCTATCATATACTATATATATAATATACTATATATACTATAGGAGAGGTTCTTAATAAAAACGCGTTCCGAGATACTTGTAAAAACCACATCCTAACCCTTCCAATCTATCTAATCCAATTCGCCCTACCATTTTCCAATGGTAGATAGAATTGTGAAATATAGACAAATTTAATACACATTCATTTAATGTGAAAAGGGTTAAAAATTGGAACTAATTCACTACATTTATCATGGTGGGTCCCGCTGCCCGGGCAAACCTCTCAATTGCCCTTCTCATTGGTGTTTGCTTCCATTTTCCCCATTTCTCTCTCTCACTTCCTGCCTCTCCTCGCTCCACACTCACTTCCATTTCTCTATCCAAGCTTTTGATCTTCCATCTTTCGCATGGAAGAACACAACAACAATTCATTAAAAATCATCGTAATCTATTCCAAGCTTCGCTGGGAGTGAGTCTGGATTCACTTCCATTGAATCTGGATTGATATGAAGGCCTCGATTCATCTGGAGTGGCAGGTCTTAGATTTCAGTTGAATTGAATTTCCAGACTTCAGTGAGACTGAAACTCCGCTTAATCAAACACGCATAGCAACATCTCAAAAATAAAAAAAAACAAAAAGAATAATAACTCTATGGTAAAAAATCCAAGCTAATAAATCCTGTAAACCATTATAAATTTCACATTTCTACAGGCAAAAAGTTCCCACGATTTTTTTATTTTTGTGTAAAAAACAAACACTCTCGACATAACTGAATCTTGTGATTCACTGCAGGCTGAATCCTAGATTGTCCCACTCATGCGTTTATTTTCTGTCGAAAATTACAGCACATGCATTTATTTCTTCAACAATTTTTCATAAAAACCATCACTAACCCATCCAAGCTTCTTTCGTGGAGTTGAATCTGGATCACCTCCATCTGAATCTGGGGATTCACTCATTGAATCTTGGATTATATTCGACAGAATAAGAAAACTCCTATTGGTAAAACAACCATAGCTTATAAGAATTTTTAACCACTCAAAGAAGAATACGAAACTTATGTGGGTGTAGAGAGAAAAAACAAGCTAGGTAAAACATTTTCCAAACTCATTCGGAAAAGATCTCTATCTATCTCTTTACTCCCGAGTCTAAAACAAACTGTACGATTTTCTATGCGCCCAGGTAAAACAATCATCACGCCTCTTATCGCCCTCATCTGTGAATACTCGAGACTCCTTCAGCGATTCACTCATTGCATTGCAGTGAATAGATTCACTTATCAGGCGTTCGTCCCTTCGTCTTATCAACTGGTTTTTCTTCAAAAAAACAAAAACTTGCTTCACGCACTAAAGGTGAAATATTTCACCTTCCTACCATGGTCCGCCTACAACAACAAAGCTTAACGATACCTTTCAAGCTGTTTAAAACTAAAACTTTTAGAGCCGAGAAAATCAAACAGAATTTTTAGTAAACTTACTTACAAGCCGGTGCAAAATAACTTAACACGCCCACTGAATCATGAACGAACGAAGGGTATTGAAGATACGACCGCTGAGACGAATGCCGTCAGCAATAAATTATTCATAAACCATGAAGACGACAACGTCGCTGTTCGGCGAAGATAGCACGAGACGTAGTTGCCGGTTCATGTGATCTTGTGGTGGAGTCAGCGAGAGAGAGAGGTTGAAGGAGACGAAGGGTTTGAAGAGAAGAGAATGTTTGAACGTGCAGAGATCCTCGAGACGTGCTTAGATTGTCTTAGAGACGAGAGAAGAGAAGTTTGCATGGGCGGAAATGGGATGACACTCGAGACTACGCAGAAAGCATTAATTACCTCTCTTATTAGTGGGTGTTTATTCTTATCCTAATGTACCCTTGATGCTTGTCAGCTTTAATCCTCAGCCATTGGCACTGCAATCTAGCGAATCCATATGGACTGAGGATTGCTTTTTAGGTTCTTCTGGCATAGTATGAGGGTTTTTATTTTGACACCTTCTTCTATATTATTATTTATACTATAGTTATATACCTTATACTCATATCTTATTATACGCCCGGGAGCGTCCACCCCGCCCTACTCCAGCGCCCGGCGGCGCTATATAGTACTTATTATCCTATATATATATACTATATCTACTAATATACTAGTATACTCATATATATATTTATATACCTATATATATACATTATATTTATAGTAGAGACGGAGCGTAGAAAACTTTATGTCAATTTAAGTGTTACCATCCACCAAAGTTTACTACTCCATTTGATTGGAAAAGTCTGCTTTATTGATGCCACGTATCTCCTATGTATCATCAATTGATGATAGAAACTTTGGTGGATGGTCCACTTAAGTGATATAAGTTTCTCTCTCTCTCTCTCTCTCTCGTCTCTCTAGTTATATATATATATA